TACTCTGAATATGATTTCAGCTATTATAATTTTAAATTTGTTTGCTTAACCAGCTGGTAAAATATTACAGTATATATTTATTTATCCAAATGCTATGGTTGGCGAATGAGGCAGCAGCCTACATGTTTAAAGATACATTTTGATAAACAATATAGATGCCAATAGTGCATTTTTTTTTTTTTTTTTGGAACATTTAGTACTTGTAAGCTCAAGATGGGTCTGGGATATTTATAACACTATATTGTCAGACATCAGGAGAGCATGTAATTGTATTTTGATATTTTGCTTTAATAAATTCTTGGAGCGAAGCTGCACTGATTAGAAGCATGCTGCCTACTGCCTCATCATTTCTCCTGTTTATGCAGAATATTCTTCTGTACGGGTCTGCCCCCTAGACCGGACCCATAACATTTACTTAAAGTGGACAGCACGACAAACCACAACACCATTAATTAATTTGAATTTCTCTTCCACAGATAGGTAAACAACGGTTTATGTACTGATGAAAAGAGATGTGTAACAGTCCAAACATAGCGGGTAGTTGAGAAACCCCATATTTTAACTGGCATAAAGCAGACACAGTAACTTCGCCAGCCATCATGTGGATTATGTGTGCCCTGTCTACTTATGTATTTTACTGAATGTTCATTTTCACACTGTTTTAGAAACATTGTGTCACCTCTGAGCAGACTGTTCAGCTGCAGCACCACACAGATCCCCATGCATGATAAGTCACAGAGCAGCGGCTACACAGCAGGTTTGACTAAAAAGGAGATAATACAGCCAAAAAAAGATAATCAACCAAGAAGTGGCTGTAATTACTGAAATAATATGGATATACCTTATATAGTAAAGCCTTAAACACATTTAATTAAACAATAACAATGACTGGATACATTTTTTACCTCTGATTTATGTCATGGACAAGGAAATGATCCATCATAAAACACTAAAGGTAGAATGTGGGCAATAATCCTAGGAAAGAAAACACATAGGGGCTACTGAGGTAAATAATAATGATGATGATGACAAGGGACAGAAGCTACATCTCTTAGGGATCTTGACAAAGTAGAGGGCAGTGTAAAAAGCAGATAAAATGAACTGTGCACCATCTCAGCCCTGCTCCTCTCCTCCCTGATGGACGACACTTGGGGCTCTGAGCTCTGCTTCCCCAATTTCAACTCCTCCTGCAGGCGTCTGCTGCGACCACACTCTGAGACTCTTCTACTCTACACCCTAGTTGCATCTGTCTCTCTGCTCACTGTGACACTCAATTTGCTCGTCATCATCTCCATCTCCCACTTCCGGCAGCTCCACACCCCGACCAACACTCTGCTCCAGTCCCTGGCTGTGTGTGACCTGGGACTGGGGCTGCTGGTGATGCCTGTTGAAGGCCAGCACTACATTGAGAGATGCTGGCTGCTGGGGAGGATAATGTGTGCTCTGTCTACTTATCTGTTTTTTTGTCTGGCTTGTGGTGCTCTGGGCCACATGGTGCTCATATCCATTGACCGTTATCTGACTATCTGTGACCCACTGATCTACTCCTCTAAGGTCACTGTGACTAAAGTTAAAATCTGTATCTGTCTCTGTTGGGTCTGTTCAATTACCTACAACGGGTTCATTCTAATGGACCACATGGGGCAGCCTGACAGGTTCAGCTCCTGTTATGGGGAGTGTGTGGTGGTCATCAACCAGATCTCAGGAACTATTGACATGTTTATAACCTTTATTGGGCCTTGTACTGTCATGGTTGTGCTGTATATGAGGGTGTTTGTAGCTGCCCTTTCTCAGATGCATGTAATTCAGTCACAGGCTGCTGCTGCTACCAAGGCAAGAGCAGCTCCAACTGCTAGGAAATCACAGCCCAAGGCAGCCAGGACTCTGGGGATTCTGATAGCTGTGTTTGTATTATGTATCTGCCCGTACTACTATCCCGTTCTTGCAGGTGTAGTCATCTCCTCTGACATGTCCTATTATCCCATTTTGTTTTGGTTGTGGTTACTGAACTCTTGTCTAAACCCTCTGATTTATGCCATGTTCTACCCCTGGTTTAGAAAAGCTATCAAACTCATCATCACACTCAGAATACTGCAGGATAACTCCCGGGAGGTCACGATCTTGTAGACAGGGCTGGAAGTATCAGTCAATGGTTATTTTTACACAATTTTAGAAACATTGTGTCACCTCTGAGCAGACTGTTCTGCTGCAGCACCACACAGACCCTCGACAGTGGCCTCAGACACAGAGATTCTCATGTTGTAAACTGTTATTCTCATAAATACACACCTCAGTGCTGAGTGAAGCACATCAACCTGGCCTCATGAGACTTTTCATTGCAAATGTTGACCTTGAATGAAACACTGTGCAAGGCATTTGTCTGGCAGCAAAATATTACTACACAAAATTAGGAATATACAGTATATACAAATGTGGTCTTGCGATAAATAGGGTCAATATTTTTTTAATTATTCTCATTTATTTGTTTCTTGTCCCCAGATTGTCAGAAGGACCCAGAAATCATAAAAAAGTGAAAAATCTTAATGCACTTCATTATATATGACTGCATACAAAAAGTATTTTAAAAAATTATAATATTATCTTGATGAATACAAACCCAGCAGGGCTCTGTGGTCTTTAATTCAATTCATTTCACTTTTATTTGTATAGCACCAAACCACAACAAAAGTCATCTCAGGACACTTTACCAAGTAAGGTCTAGACCTGGGGTGACCAATAAGGTGCAGGTGGGCCTGTTCTAAAGATAGCTCACCATAGCGCCACTTACCAGTGAAATGCATCTGATTTTTTTTTGTTGCTATTGTAGTGGTTGAAAATAAACAAGGTTCCAGAGGTAATATGTAATAGAACAGTATGTAGTTCATATTTAGATATTATTTGTATTAGTTGTGTAAGGATGTAAGGCTGAGCATGTAAGGCTGAGCAAAGTGTGTACGGAAGCTTGATCTGTTTCTGGCGCAGGCAAGAATATTGGGCTGTGTCCCCCTTGTTTAACCTATGGGTCAACATCTCGAGTGACTTCCTCCTCAGATAGGGAATGGATATACTGTAGCTGCAGCCTTATGTGAACTGTTTGTGTGCTCTGTTCAGGTTTAGAAAAAGGAAATGTGGGCTACGTCAGTGCGACCTAGACGTTCATGTACTGGAC